GTGGAGCTGGGGGTCAACAGGGGCCAATGGGAAGAGTGGTGGGTCAACGGGGTCAAAAGTGGGAGGGGTTTGAGAGATTCAGGGTGGAGCCAGCAGGATCTATGGGGTGAAGTGAGGGGTTAGGAGGCGGGGCTTGGCCTCAACAGGGGCCACTGCGGGGGGGGACGTGGCCAATCAGGGACGGCTGGAAGGCGAAGGGGTGGAGCTTGGGGGTCAGAGAGGTCGGCAGGGTGGTGACTCCGCAGGTATCCGCCCTGAGACGCACTCACCGGGGATGTTCTCCTGGTTCCCCATCTTCTTCCCCATCAAGGTGGGTCCAGCGGCGGCCATCTTGGGCTTGGCAAGAGGGCAGCCATTTTGGGCTTGGGTGGAGGTTGGCCGTCTTGAGCTTGGTGTAAGCGTGGCCATCTTGGGTTGGGTTTGGGTGGAGGTTGGCCGTGGCTGGCTTGGTGGGAGAGCGGCCATGTTGTGCCTGGCGTAAGGTTGGCCATCTTGGGCTTGGTGAAGGGTTGGCCATCTTGGGTTTGGATAGACATTGGTCATCTTCGGCTGGGTATAAGGTTGGCCATCTTGGGTTTGGGTACACGTTGGCCATCTTGGGTTGGGTTTGGATGAAGGTTGGTTGGCCATCTTGGGCTCGGAGGGAGGGTGGTCATCTTGGATTGGCATAAAGGTGTCCGCTTTGGGCTTGGGTGGAGGTCGGCCATCTTGGTTTCTGTAGAACGTCGGCCATCTTGGTTTCCGTAGAACGTCGTCCATCTTTGCTCACCCTTTTTCTGTTCCCCCCACAGCAACCGCTGGCGGTGCGGGCGGGCGAGGAGGTGTCGGTGGCCTTTTGGCGCTGCGCCACCCCCAAGAAGGTGTGGTACGAGTGGGCCGTCACCTCCCCGGCCTGCTCCGCCCTCCACAACCCCACCGGCCGCTCCTACACCATCGGCCTCTGAACGACGACACCGCAATAAAGGCCTTTGACTTTACACCTCAGCCTCCTCGCCGCCATCTTGGGGGGCGGGGGGAAGGG